TCAGCCCCACAAGAAACTGTCCTTGGTAAAGCAGGAGAGATTACAAAACAATCAAGGTAAGGTTTTCAATCCACATTGGACTTAAACTAAAGGGTCACAGAAGATAAGCAATTCTCTTACATGGTCAACCAATACTGGCACATTCCAATTAACAAGGATGACTAAGGCAGATACAATGTGTGGAATCACACATATTTGTGCAAATCATATACATTCAACAGAATGCTTAATTGAGTAAAATTTTCAAAAAGCATCTAGAAGCTCTTGCTCTTGTCTTTTATTCAGGGAATGAATTTTAAGGCAGGGTTTTACATGCAAATAAAAACTACTAAGTTTTTAGCTGAGCCTAATGAGTAATTATTTCTGTTCCATTTTTAAAACACAGCAGAATGAAACAAAAACAGCTTGATAAATATCTCCTTTAAACTGTAAGACATACTTGGGTGAAAATGTTTAATACCCAATATCTAAGTGATGTTTATTAAGTCCTAACTTTGCACTAGAAAATGAATATACCTACTATGCGTTGCCTACCCCCGTGGGTCTAAATTACTGAGGTCTGTTAACAACTCCTGTACATGAGGTTCCCCAACAGTCCAAAATGCAAGCTACACCCTTCTAAGCATTATATACTGGCTGACACTATTAATCCTTGTAACAACCTATCAGAAGCTCTATTATCCTGATGATGACATATGATGAAAACAGGTCACAGACAACTTAAGGAACTTGCCCAAGATCATACAGCTGTAAAAACAAACAAACAAACAAAAAACCAAGAAATCAAATCCAAGTGCTCTGACTCCTCAGTCCTTATCCACTACACTTTATTGCCCACATACATAAGCACATTCATAGGCAGACAGAAAATACCATTCAGGTATAAACTTACTATTTATTGAGCACCTACTATATGCCAGGCACCAGGTACTAGAGATGAAAGAATTAAAGCTTGGCCCTGAGCTGAAAAAAACTTTTAAAAAAAAAAGATTCAGGGTAGGGTGAAAATAAAGTAACCAGTTATAATATAACATGTTCATGCTCAGGCTAGTGGGCTATCTATCCTGCCTTTTAGGGGAACAGGATGCAAAGGATAACTAATGTAAACAACAGTATGACCCTTAGAAGCACCAATTTTTTTTTTTTAAATAGCTGTAATACACTTGACTAGAACTAGAAAACTTTATATAATCCTTTTTTTGATGGTTTCTGGTCATCACTGGGAAGACCAAGAACGCTGCAATCATGTCATAAAGCATTTCCAGAATGAGGGGCTTTTGCCCCTACTTTTTAAAAATTTAAATAGTTATATCTCTCTCCCAGGTCTTATTGCTAAAGGTTATTGCCCACCTCTAGCAGTTACACTCTCTCCTAATCTGAAATGATACACAAGAGCGTTAATGAGTAACCATACCCTAAATTTAAATTGTCAGGGAAGGTTGCTTCTCCAGAGTAAAGTATTCAGGCTTAGGACGGTTTACGTATTTTCTTTGACGTTCATTTAAATACAATAAAAAGAGGTGGCTAATGATAAAGACAAATTCTGTCAATTTTAAAATTTTACTCACAACAAACCTGGGAAAGAGATGAAATTTCTTACCTCAAACAGGGACCGTGACAATAGTAACAGGTAATCTTTAATGAGCAGTACCTACTATGTGCCAGGTATATTAGTTAGCAGGTTAATAGCGATTAATTATTTTATCCTCACAATAACCTTATGGAATATGAAATTCTAATCTCCATTATATAAATAAAAAAAATAAGGCCCAAGTTCACATAAAAGTTATAGGACTAGAATCTGAATCACATGCTTAAGGTAAAAACAAAAACAAAAAACAACTTCAGTATCTTTGTGGGCAAGCAGGTGAAGTAACTGTGTGAAGTGGCTCAGTTTCAAGATTATAGAGCCATTGTTCTCAACCTTGGCTGCACACAGTAATCACCTGGAGAGACTGCCAGGTGTGTTCCACCCCCATAGCCCCACAGACTGTGATTTAATTGGTCTGGGAGCTGCCCAGGTAATTCTAATGGCCAGTCAAAGCTAAGAACTACTATGTGTAAACAGAGAGAATGGTTCATGGCCCACAGGAAAGGAGTTTAAAAAAATGGAAAAGGGTAAGGAAACAATGTGCTGACCAAAGGTTGTTGGCACTGCCTCTGCACCAATATGTAACCTCTGCCCCACTTTTCAATATAATTAGAGATAGTATGGGTGGAAGATAGATCAGTAAATAGACAGGCTGGCAGATGGAGACATTTGTTTTCAGTGGAGAGGGGCTTGCCTAGTCTTGGAACTTGCCCCATGTCACCCCCCACCACCATCTCCTATTTATGGAATTCTCCTACTACAAAATGCACTTAGAGTTAGGACATAACCTACTTTCAAAATAAGCTCTGGAGTACAACTCATTCTTAAACTGAAGATGGAACCTAAATATGCTCACTAAACAAATGCATACCTTCAAATTAAAGGGCCAAACTACTTAAACATTTCAAGAGTCGTATTTTTTAAAGAAGGCCACTGTTAACTCTGATCTTATCCAAGCCAGGTCAAGAGATCTCGCGTAACTAAGCAAGACTTAAGAATGGAGAGTCTAAGCCCTAAAAACAAAGGCAGGTGGTATATAGTATTACTGAGTAAAATGTCATTTGTCATTAGAAAAGGGAAGCAAATCAGTATACCACAAAAAAATCTTCATTAAATGGCCTGCAGATGTGAAATCCAAAATAAATGCTACAGAAGTCAATTGTGAATCCATTAAAAAAAAAAAAAAGAAATTGTAGCTTGCTTGGGAAATAATTCTTCATGCATAACCATATTATAATTGTTGCACCACAATTCAAGAGGAAATGGCCAAAGAGTAAATTAAGAAATGGCCTTTAAGGCAACTCATTCAAAGTAGCTACAACATTTTTTCATGTCCTGCTGCAGAGCAAATGTGTATTTTAATGGTCCTGTATTACCACGGACCACCACTCTTCCCCACTACCACCACCCAAAGAAGACAAATGAAAGAAATCGAGATTGATTTTCAAAACGGAATACTACGATATAAAGGCCATGACTCAGAACCCAAGGGCCTTGGCCAGTGAGTCTTAGCACTGGCAGTTGAGGCGAATGCACTACTTGGGTAAAATATTTTGTGGTTGTTACTTTGTTTTGGTTTTTCAAAAAACAGACAGGGAAGTGAAGCCTGGGAAAGTAGACAAAAGTGTGTGGGATTAATTTTCTCACTAGTTTAGGATAATTTTCCTTGTTGATTGAATAAATATATAGCGCTCCCCTCATGTGTGTCAGGCACTGTGCAGTGCTGAGGATGTACGGATGAATATGACAGTGCCTGCTCTCATGGGTCTCCTAAAGTGAGAGACCAAAGTACCAACCTCATAATTCACTACACAAGCCCCTTCCAACCATGAGTGTGAAAATCCAGTCCTGCCATCGTACTATTAGCAAATTTTCCCCTTGGTCTGATTCCACTGAACTTCACAAGGAAGCCACTCATATCATCTAAATAAAATAAGTAAATAAATAAATACCCATACTTTGCATACCGACAATAATCCATGGGTAAATATCAAGGAGTTTTAAGAAAAGTTTGGTTTTTTTTTAACCTATATCAAAGACTGTATCAAAACAGGTTTTCCTTTTGAACTAGGCCCAGCTCACATATTTTCACTGCCTATGGCTATACAGCTTCAGTAAGCTAAAAATACTTTTCTTTCTTCTAAGTTGGGAAGAGCATTTAAGACTAACCAATCAGCTGTGTATCATTTTTGCTCATCTTAATTTTTTTTTTTTTTACTAAAAAAAATAGCTTAAGCAACGAAAAGGCATCTGGTTTATATTTGTATGCACATACACTGACAGATCTATCCCAGCTTGTATCTTCCTACTAATATGAAATAAGCTGTGTTTGCATTATCAGCAAAGACTGTCAACATTTCACTACTAAGCTTTTTGTTATTATTATTATTTTTTTGGTTGGGGAAGAGGGCTGCATAAGTGTTGAAAAGTAACCACAAGTACAAGTGAAAGCTTTCAAATCGTGTATAGGATGACTGTGCTCTTAACAAGACCACATGGTGCTTACTTTGCAGTCATGCATCATTTATGTTTCTGAAATTCACATTAAACGAGACTCTAAAACAGAATGATAGGAGCTTTAAGTCTTTCTGCAGGTTTTGCCCAAGTTGTGTTTGCGGTGTCTGGCAAAATGAAAAACTGTTTCTCTTCTTGGGCTTCTTAAGGCTAATTGTAAAATACACACATACACATACGCGCATGCGCGCACACACACGCCCAACACTGATAAACTAAAAGTTATTCAAGAAGACAAACTTTTTTTTTCTTTTCAAAAAACATACCTGCAGAATGGTGAAGAGCAGTTAAGTAGCGTGGACTCTTTTAACACATTCAACATACCTAGTCACCTTATTAAATTAACAGAAACTAGCAGGTCTAAGTTTCATTCAACTAGGCCATTAGTTTGGGCAGCCTGGTCATGGCTTAATTTTTCTAAAACAAAACAGCAGTTTGAGAAATCTCTGCCAAACTCCCCATTTCTTAGGTTACTAACAACGTCAAATGGAAAGCAAATACGTCCTTAGAAACCAGGAAAGCCATGCCCCTTCGGGATGGGCTGGCAGAATCGGAGCGAGGGCTACTGGTTTGCCTGCGTGGACTGCAGCTGGGCCTCTGAGAGTGCTGGGGGTTAAGGACTCCGTGTGTACCCACCCATTCAAAGCCCAGCGGGACCACAGACTGGTGCTACCTACGCATCTCACACACAACCACCCGAGGAGCCGGGAGATTGGGGATGTCATCTCCCCTGACACTCTGGGGCCCAGCCGCCCTGCAGGGCTCGCCTCTGATGACCCTGAAGGTCAGAGGGTGGCACCCGCAGTTCCAACGGCTCCCCAAAGCTACTTTTCCAGCTGTGGCGGAGGCGCGGGGCAAAGTTGGCCACTGGCCGCGTGCGTCCCGTTAACCGTACCTTGTAACTGGGCGGAAAGGGACTCCTGGTGCTGCTGGTACTTGAGCGCCACCGCCTCGGCTTTCCGCAGCTGGGTCTGCAGCTCGTAGTAGAGCATCGCGCCGTAGAGAAAGCCGAAGACCACGGTCAGCAGCAGCAGCGTCTGGAAGATCCGCTTCTGCTTTCGGGAGCACATCCCGTTTCCCATAGTCCCGCCTGGACCCCGCGCCGCGGCCGCCCCCACCGCCACTGTCTCTTCCTGCCCACGGCCCGAGCGAGCGCCTTAGCAGCGGCCGCCGCAGGAGGTGGCCGGACGCGGCATGAGGAGGAGAAGCCAGACACAAAAGCGGGGCCGACGGGGAAGTGGCGCCCGCTCAGCCCTCGCGCGCCGCGGGGCGCTCCGCCATCGACGCCGCCCGGGCAGCCGCCGCCAAACTTTTGCGAGGCTGTCGCTCTGCGAGTGCCCGGGCCCGGGAGGGGGCCCTCCGCATAGTTCTGAGCGGGCTGTCCTCGCGCTCGTCCCCAGCCGCCGCTGGCCTTTTTCCCTCCTCCCCACTTTTTGGCCCGGCTACCCCCGGCGGCGCTCGGAGTCCCGCCCCGGCCGCTCCCCGCCCCCTCGCGGCGGTTCCCACTGCGCGACTTTGCTGCCACCAAAAGGAGGGGGTGCGCCCTCAACAAAAGGACCCGGGCTCCAGGCGACGCCTCCGCGCGCGGCGGCGACGGTGGGTGACGGGTGGGGGCCGGCTGCTTGGCCGGGTTTGGGGGATGGCGGGCCGGTGTCACTGACTGGGCTTGCCGAGCCTCCGCCGCCGCCGCCGCCTCCCACCCAACTTACGTGTCACCCACGGCCCCGCTATTCTGGCCAACGGGATTCCGGGAGGAAGTCCCACTCGGGCTCCCCGCTCATTGGGCCCGTCCGAGCCGCCGCTCCCTCCCTTCGGGGAGGCAGTGCTGGGCTCGATTGGACGCCCGCTTTGTCCGTCCGACCCCTGGGCCGCGCCTTCCCTCCCACTGCGGGGACCAGCGAGGGGCTCGTGGGCAGCGCGACGTCCTGGCGCCCGGGTGCGTCCACGTGGAGTGAGGGTGGGTGGGGAGAGGCGGCGGAGTCTGCAGAGGGGTGGTTGGGGTGCGCCGGGGACGTGTGCCGGCCTGCAGTTGGGCGAGGTGCGGTGCGCACGTGTGTGAGTGTGCGCGCGTGTGTGAGATCCAGCACTGGGGACGCACGTGGGGAGACGAGTAATACATTGTATAGAAGTGGGAGGGAGTGGATGGGAGCAACTGCACTCTACCGAGTACACTTTCTTACCCCGCCCTTCCCCCAGTGGGCAGATGCGGTAGACGCAGCGATAGCTACATTGTCAGCACACTCTTCATAGTCAAACCCGTGATGCTGTGCCAACTGAGTCTTGCCCCATCCAGTGTAACTAGTGTGGATGCCTGTGTGCCCGTAGGTGGCAGGACGCGAGTCTGGAGACTCCAGCACGCTACCACGCTAGACTTATGCTCAACGGTTCACGTTGGGGGGTGGGGGGGAGGAAATCAGCTTGCCTTTGGTAGGGGGGGAAAGAAATGATCTCATATGTTTTACCCCTGGCTGCAAATAGAATAATTTAAAAACAAATCTTACAGGCCGAAATGAGTATGCATTCATTTTGTCATATGTATTTGTTTTATTGGTGGCAAAAATACATCAGTTACATTGTTAAACTGCATTTTAAAGGCCAACAAAGGTCCCCTATGTAAAAACAAGTAAAACAAACTTAATAACCACAAACCTCTTCAAAGAAAGTCCCATAGTGCGTTTGCTCTTTCTGTGTACTTGAGCAAGGAAAATTGAGGTTATGCATAAATGATAATTTTATTTCTGCACTTGACCTAAATTCTAATAAAGTAAATTATTTCTCAAATGTCTCAGTAGTGTCATGGAATTTGTTACATACTACATAATTTTTATGACAGTCTAACCAGATTTTAGTCATCATTATCAATAATGGCCAGTGAGGGCTTGAAATGAGGGTAGATCTGTTTAGTTAAATACAACGTAAAGACAGTCCCTGGTGCAGAATTTGTTTAGGTTGGCTCTGAATTTAGAGGATGCTAAGAACCATAAACTGAATTAACAACCTAGCTAGGCTGTGATATGTACACTACCATGAAACCTAAGTGTGGCTAGGCTAGCATAGGCTTTTCACTAATAATACCTTACAGTATATCATTGAAAATGCTTTCATATTGAAACACACCGTCTCACTTATCACACCTTGGTTAAGTACAGATGCTCCTCAACGTACTATGGGGTTACATCCTGATAAGCTCATCATAACTTGAAAATATTGTGAAGTAAAAAATGCATTTAATAAACCTAACCTACTGAACATCATTGCTTAGCCTCGCCTACTTTAAATGTGCTCAGAGCACAGATTAGCCTACAGATACTGATAAATTAGGCAACATTATCTAACACAAAGCCTATTTTATAATAAAGTGTTGAATATCTCATGTAATTTATTATGTGTGTGGTTTTCCCAGCATCGTAAAGTCAAAAAATCATAAGTTGAACCATCATAAGTCGAGGACCAAATGTATTAGATTCACATTTTGGTAAATAAACCAGTTTATCAAAGTGACTGTGATAGCTCTAGGACCTTCTAGGTCAGGCAGAAAGTTAGGTGCTCACAAGATTAGAATCCAGGTCGGCATCCTGTGCTTTCCTTCTCTTTCTCCCATCAAAGCTGGGTTCTCATTCTTTTAAAACAAGTTATATTAACGAATTGTATCTGGTCCATTAAACTGGAACCTAATTTAAAAAGAACAAAAATCCAAAGGAATTTTAGAATGTTGTTCTGTCGTGTAAATATTATATAGCCACTTTAAATGTCCCTCTTTCAGTTTGATTCTTGGAAACTGAGACTGGATAATTCCTGTGACCTTGTTAAATTCCTCAAAAGTAAGAACTCCTTGTCATCGCCAGTGTACAATTTGCTAAACGAACTGTTCCTAAAAACAAACAAACAAAAAAAAAACCTCCCAAAACTGCTCTGGAGGAAATGAAATTTTATAGCTACAATCGTCGACCATACTTAAATAGAAAATTATCCTAGCCACAAAAGAAAAAGAAATTGTACAGAGGACTGGGAAATTATTGCTCATATATTATACAGTATGCAGTATTTAGTAGTATTTCAAAAACTTTGGAAAAGTCTTATGCTTCCGTTATGCATGATTACTCATTTTAAACCTCTGATTTCTTCGCATCTGACTCCAAAGGCATTCTTTGCCTAAAGCTGCTGTCTGACTCTACCGAAAATAATAAATGTTGGCCATAAAACACAACTCAATATTTCAGTCATAAAATTTGAAAGAAAACAAAAATTATTACCTGAACTTATCCATTATTTCAAATTCAAGAAGGGTATGTAGAAGTACATAAAATCACTAATGGCAGTGTCTTTGTAATATTACTTTTCCAAGGTGAAGTATGCTGATAGTTTCCTGAAACTATCAGTATAGAGCTTATGAGAGGCCAGCATTGGGGAAGCTATCCAGGGCCTGTGAATTGAATTTACATAACATGCCTTTGGGTAGAGCTTGTAATAGATGAGCTATTTATACTGGTCTTGCTAGGTCTGTTGTTAGTTCTATTTTATTTTTATCATTTTAATAATAGTATTACATAATGATATTTCTATATCAAACATATATATTTAAAATTGTAAGTCCTAAAGAACTTCACTAATTTAATGTTTTATTTCTAAGGCAGGCGAAAATTAAAAGAGATTCAAGTTCTTACATTTGAAAAGGGCTAAGGTAACATTTGGGAACCTAAGCATTCTCTTCAGTTTTAGTCAATTTGTCGTTCTAATATTTGTTCATTTTCAAAATAGGAGAATGCAAGAAAAATATAGTTGAGGGATACAGCCAGTGTATAATTTGTAAAAATGGGTGATTTTAAATTAATGATGTTCAGGATCCTGGAATAAATAATTTCCAGTGTGTTTTAAATTTTTCATTTAAACCTCTTTCCTATAAATTGAATTGACAATTTTTTAATTTGCAAGAGAAGTCAACACCTAAGAAAAGGTGATGAATGTTAAATAACTTTTTTAAAAATCTGTAACTCTGATGATGAATGTTAACTAGAATTACTGTGATAATTATTTCTCAATAAACACACATATTGAATCATTGTTTTATACACCTGAAACTAATATGGTATGTCAATTATATCTCAATAAAAAATAAATCAATAAAATTGTATCAATAAATAACATTTTTAAACTTTTCATATGAAAAGGGCTGAAATTAACTATTCTTATTCCTCTTTAGGAAACTTCACTCTTGGTCTCTGCCTTTTTGCCACTTCTCCCATTTGCTATCACTTTACACTCAGACTTTGATGCTTGCCACCCCCTCTTTTTTTTTTAAGATTTTTATTAAAATATAACTAACATAAAATATTATAGTAGTTTCAGATGTACACCATAGTTATTCAATAGTACCCACCTGGCACTATACAGTGTTATTACTACATTATTGATTATATTCCCTATGCTAACGAAGTGATCACCATGATAACTCCAGCAACCATCTGACACCATGTCATGCTATCACAATATTATTGATTATATTTCCTATGTTGCATATTGCATCCCCAAGACTTATTTGTTTTATGCCTGGAACTCTGAACCACTTATTCTTCCTTATCTTTACCCCCCTTTTTAAATTTGTCAATTAGAGTTGACATTCAATATTATTTTATTTTATTGTAAGTATACAACATAATGGTTAGACATTTATATCATTTAAGAAGTGATCCCCCTAACTAGTACCCACCTGGCACTATACATAGTTATTACCATATTATTGATTATATTCTCTATACTTTACATCCCCATGACTGTTTTGTAACTACTAATTTGTATTTCTTAAACCCTTCACCTTTTTCACCCTGCCCCCAAACCCCTCCCAACTATCACCCCAACAAATCTAGTACCAATCTGACACCATACATAGTTATTACAATATTATTGACTATATTCCTTATGCTATACCATTCATCCCCATAAGTACTGTGTAACAATGAATTTGTACTTCTTAACCCCTTCCCCTTTTTCGACCCATCCCCAATTCCCCGTCATCTGGCAACCATCAAAAAAATTGTTTCTGTTTCATTTGTTCATTTTGTTCTTTAGATTCCACTTAAAAGTGAAATCATTCGACATTTGTCTTTCACTACCTGATTTATTACACTCAGTACAATACTCTCTAGGTCCATCCATGCTGTTGCAGATGGCAAGATTTCATTCTTTTTTTACAGCTGAGTAATATTCCATTGTATATGTGTACCACCTTTTCTTTATACGTTCATCAATTCAGGGACACACAGGTTGCCTTCATATCTTGGCTATTGTAAATAATGTTGCAATGAACATATGAATGAGCATATCCCCTTGAAACAGCATTTTGGGTTTCTTTGGATAAATACCCAGAAGTGGGATTACTAGGCCTTTCTTTGTCTCTTGTTATAGTCTTCGTTTTAAAGTCT